GCTTGGCTTCCTGGGACCATAGGAAGACCATTTAGATGTGCTGGATCAACTGAAAAGTTCTGCCCCACTATGTTCGATCTTCCCATAACCTTCAAAAGTTTAGCTTGCTGTTGAGACTGTGCCTGCTGCCGTTGTTGAGGGTGCTGCCTGCCAGATTGAAACTGCTGCTGCTGTGGCTGCCGTTGTCGTTGCTTTGACATTTGATTAGTCAATCCAGTACCAAGTTGAGGATTCCGGCCCATCCCGTGATGTGGCAGCTGATGTTTCTGCTGATGCTGCAATGCCATGGGTGTCACTGGGGAAGATGCTGAAAGTGGCGCCATTGATAGTGGCTGAGAGGAAGGTTGTGCTTGAATTTGAGAACTATTTTGCAGAGGAGATGATAGTGGAAGCTGAGGTTGTGGTTGGACATGTGGCATCAAAGCACCAGATGCTGCAAACTGTTGCTGTTGCTGCTGCTGCTGCTGCTGCTGCTGCTGTTGCATATAACGCTGTTGCATTTGCCTTTGTCGGATTGCATAGGCTTGTTGCTGTCCTCCTGTAGCATGATTGGGACCTGGAAGATGAGGATGATGTGAATTACTCAGAGCATGGGACTGCTGTGGAGAAATCTGGTGCTGTTGCTGAGGATTGCCCGAGTATGCCTGCACAGGAGGGGAGGGTGTCTGATTAGGAAAACCAGAACTCATCCCATTGAATCCAGGAATTACTTGGCTGTTCCCTTGTGTAACCTGAATCTGAAGATCTTGTGCTATCAATTGCCTTTGATGCTCTGAATTACTCCCAGGCTGCAAGACAAATAAAAATTGCCATAATAAGATTAAATTACTGATGCACTACTGTAGCGTGGATCAACTATAAAGTAACACAATTTTTTGGATTGTAGATTACAGCATTAAATCAATCTAAATAACCAAGTTTCCTTTTCCAATTAGTCACTACTCCTAATCCCACGTTCAATTTCAAGGCAAGAACTGGGGTTTAAATCCAATCAACCCAATCAGCCTTTTTTAGAAGAAATTCAACCAAACCAGCTACTACCGTCCCCTGCTTACATAATTGTCTGAATCATACTTCTAGAGCACAGAATCATGGCTAAACTGGTGTGGAAGACCCAGAAAAAGAAGCCAGAGCTCAAATTTCGGGGCTTGAGATTAGTGGAAGCTATTACTCAAAAATGTATCTAACATTAACTTTTAGCAGGTTCCTCTAACCAAAGGAATCCTTCTTTCAGGGCACAGGTGACTAGTTGTAAAAAGGAAAGAAAGTTTTAAGATGCAGAAAACCAGAGAGCTCAACGAGAAGACTGCGCAGCATGAGAAAACAACACTCACATCAACTGAAAATAAGATCTGCAATAGTTAACAAAAGAATTGCCTCAAATGCCATTCATTCAACTCCAAGGTAAGCGTGGAGGTTTCAAAACCCTAAAAGTAGTCCACGAATCATTCACCAAAATTGCTCTTTCACATTTCTATGTGCTCCACTCAACACCGTACAACTCCTATACAATTTTTCTCCTCCTCAGAAACGCTTGAAGTCCAACCCTTAAGAATAAACATAGATTGTCCACTACCATGCCAACAAAGATAGCAGCAGTGAAACTAAGGATCTGGATCTCAAACACTAATTGCATAAAAACCAACAGTCCAATTGCTTATGCATTTTAAGAAAACAAATATTTTTTTTTAAATATAAATGGTAACATATATTAGTAAGGCACCAAGGGGATGCCGCCCATTTTCAACATTTACAAGTCTATTAACAAATCAATCAATTCCGCAAAATCCTCCAAAGTAACCAAATGATGATCTTGTAACAAAAAACCAACAGTCCAGAACCATCTGTTCTTTAAGATATCAAAACCATCAACATCCTCAACCACGTCAAAAGCCCTCCGATTCCTCTCCTTCCAAACAACCCAAAAATAGAGAGTGGAATAAAGTCCATCAGTTTTCCCCTGCTTTTAACACCCTTCCAAGCTCAAATTTACTCCCTCACTGAAGCTGCCCAACTGATACCCAACAATCCATAAACCATGGCCCATAGCTTATAGATCATCAGACAACACAATAGCACATGCTTACAAGTCTCCTTGTCACTCTTGCAAAAGAAACAAGCATTAACTAAAATGTTTCCTTTCCTCTGCTAGCCTCCCAAGCAAAAAAAAAAAATCCAAAGAGGAACTCTAGTCTTCCGAATCTGCCTAACAGGAACGCGAGTACCATCATCATTGCACTTGTACAGCTCTTTGTTGAAAGATTTGACCGTAAAAGACCCATTGAATATGAGGCACCACTGTGTACATCAGTGCTACCATCCAATAAGATGGAAGATAAATTCTGAAGGAGTTCCTCATTTTCACCAATCTCTTAATCATTAAGAAATCTCGATACAAGCACCTAAAACACCCTCCCACCACACTCTCTATTCTTTCAAAGTTAAGTAATATGCATAAAATATCTCTTTTGATAACTTGAGAAGATGCAGACTCCTTGCTAATTGATACTCTACACGCTTGCAAGCGAATCCCCTACCAACTCCTACTTTGGTGCTTAGAGGCTAGAGGGTTTTGAGATTCAGCTCTCCTTCCTTAATTTGGTGAGGGTGGCTAATAATTATTAAGGCTTGCAAACTATGAGGAAGCTTATTTCCTTCATATCAACAGCCATCACTTGGACAGTTTGAAAGAAATAAACAAGAATTTTCTATGGCATTATCTCTCCTTTTGCTAGCATTAGAGATCACTAGTACCAAACCTTGAGTATTTTATTAGTAGTCACTCTCTTAGCAGCAGAGAGTATTAAGGTAACCTTATTGATATTTTCTTTTCTCTGGATAATATGTAAAGCCTCTGTAGTGGATGGATAGAATCCCCTATTCTTTAAGAAAATAATTAAGATGATATAAATAATCATGCATAATTAAAGTAGCCATTTAATTGGTAAAAGAAGCACAGAAAGTATATAATTCACCCGTATCATTTGCATAGCTTCACGAGGTCTCAGCATGGAGTTCCCTTGCCCAGAACTAACTCCTGAGTGCATATTCACAGGGCTTGGCATTCCCGCCATACTAGTGAAAGCATATTTGCAGAAGTCAACATTGTCGATGAGGCCACTCCCTGAAAACTAGGCCTTGATATTGGCATGCTTCTATTCACTCCACACATCATGCCCATACCATTTCCACCAGGTGCCATACGGAGACTGCGATCAGCTCCAGAAGCAGTCCCAGGAACAGATAAATTTGGCTGCTGCATGTTTCTCCCAGATAAGATTTGGTTATACTGCTGCATCCTATGCTGCTCCTCGACTGGCAAAGATGCCCTAGGAACATTGTATCTACCATCCCTGAGAATAAAAATCACAACATAGCATGCAAGTTACAGACAAAAATTAATAAAATATATACAAAAATGAAGCTACAGAGGCAAAAAGGAAAAATATACGTAAATACATTTCACAGATAATACATATAAAAGCAAAAGTATGCTCTTATATTTAATCTAGAAATCTATTAGTAACAACAAGCTACCTATTAGCACACCTGACAGGGGTATTGAGTGGACCAGGTGGCGATGGCAAGTTACCACTAAGAACCATACCAGAAGATCCCTGCAGCGAGGAATTTGTAGGAAGAATTGATGCTACAGATCCTTGATTTGATATTCCAAGACCACCAGGATGTGAACCTTGAAACCCTAGAGATACAACTTCTTGACTCACCGTTGCATCACAAAGATCAAGTGGCCTTCATCCAGAGAATACAAAATAGCACATAAGAATTGATGGAGAGCGATATCATACCCCCATTAATAAAAATTAGGCAATAAACTTACGTTAGGACAGATCCATTCAGGTTATTTGGGCAGACTTGAGAAAGAGCAGCTACATGTGAGTTGTGCACTGGTACTATCTGTTTCTGGTCCTGGTTATCATTCTATGACAGAACAAGCAGTAAGACAACCATTGTAGGAAGAAACTCATAAGCAGCAAGGCAAAGAAGAAAAATAATTTCAGAACCATTTTAAGTCTTTAACTTTAATCCTTTATATACAATACCATAAATCTGTTTAAACTTCAGTATAAGGAGAAATAAATTGTCTTCATAATCTAATCAAGAGAAGCAATACACAGAGACACCCATGGCCCATCATGGAATATTTTTTTTCTAAAGCATGTATCTCGCTGCAAATACATGCAAGTATGTGGATATACAGCAGATAAAAACATGCATATGCACTATTCTTGTACCAAAATTAGCATCAACTTCAAGATGGCACAGTCACTTAAAATATAGTCTCACAAAAACAATTGAAACTCTTGACTAACATGGTTAAACAAACAGCACAAGATATTATTCTAAACTGGTGCAGACCTGCCTTTCAACTTTTCTGAAATAAAAATATAAATTAATATATTAACAGACACCAAGGGAATGTTAACCCATATACACCGTACTTACATATTTACCAAAATATCAATAAGATCTTTGAAATCCTCCATAGAATATAGAGAATAAACCAAGATCAAAAATTCAAGACTATAGAACCATCTATTTCTAATCCTATCAAAATCTCCCACATCATCTACCCCCTCGAAAGCTCTTTTATTCCTCTCCTTCCAAATTACTCAAAAGATGGTAAGGGGGATAATGGCCATATTTCATACCATTCCACGCCTAGATTTCATCTCTAATGGAACCTGTCATCACCCAACTGATTACCATAAACCATAGCTCATAGTTTGTATACAACCGGACACCATAAAAGAATATCATTATAAGATTGTGTATGCCTTGTACACAAGTAGCACCCGTTCACTATAACCATTCCACTCCTCATCAATTTATCAATAGTCAGAATGAACCCCCTTCCGACCTCCCACAAAAAGAAAGCCACTCTGGAAGGGACCTTCCATATTTGTCTAAAAGGAAACTTGGAACCAGAGCATTCCTGCTTAGATTCTTGTAGAATGATCTGAACGATCTGATTAAAAAGAAGCTTGTAGTAATAAGACTCCACAGAGGTTGATCGTTACTGCCATCCAAAGTTATGAGACAAAATAGTTAGGAGATTCTCATACTCATCAATCTCTCAATCATTAACATTTCTTAGAACATTTACTTGCCTCACTCCCCCCCCACCCCCCACCCCCCAAAACACCCTACTTCTCTGAAAGAGTCACTGATCAATCTTTTTGTTGTGCTATAGCGAAAATATGAGGTAAGGGCTCCACTTTCTAGCCACTGGTCTTGCCAAAAACTTTGTCACCTTGCCCACCCTCCATTTAATACAGGTCTGGAATTTGTTCCCCCCATACATATTTTTTTCCACATTCCTTTCCCATGCGGTCTTGACAGTGTTCTGGTGCACCAACCTTTGTCATCAGTTCCAAACTTGCTTCTATCACCCTTATCCACAGCATACCCTCTTCTTTCTTAAATCTTCAAAGTCATTAACCCTATAGGGTCATGTTCATCTCCATTAGGGATATTAACCCCAACCCTCCCTGGAGTATTATTGGCTTCTTAATCTCCTCCCAGGCTACCAAATGATATCTTCTTCTTTTCTCCGAATCGTCCTATAGGAATTTGCAATGTGTAATTTCTAATTTCTTTGCAACACTCGCCGGAATAGTCAAGAGAGACATATAATAAATTGGTTAGTTGTCTGACATGCTTTGATGAGCATAAGTCTCCCTCCTAAGAAAGAAGAGCTCTCTTCCAATTTGCTAACCTCTTCTCAAACCTAGCCACCACCAAATCTCACATCCTCACCTCTTTATAGTTAGCCCCCAACAGCAAACCCAAATATTTAATTGGCAATTTTGCAGCTTTGCAACGCAAAACCCTCACCAAACTCTCAGCATCGCTCTCATCACCCAATCTAACCATCTCGGGACTTGGTAAGATTAAGCAGACCTGCCTTTTCATCATAAAATAAAATGTCTTCCAATTACCAACAAGGATCTATGTGGTTAACCTTCAATATGGACCCGTAGGCTACTTACCATATGCAACGTATACTTGAAACCCATAAGAAAAGTATTGAAATATCACCAGTGAAATTAGTAGAGAAAAAAGCGGTGTCATATTATCCAAATGTCATAGTCATTGAGACAGAGAAAGAAAATATGAATACTGCAAAGGGAATATAACTAGCAACAGTATCTCAACTCCACAAACAGAACTACAGCATACTCGAAATTGTGAACAAACCTGACTCCTCCGATAATGTTGCTTTTTTCCAATCATGATTATTTTCTCAAAATGTGACTTGAGAGTGTCCTCTTCCATCGGCCATTGCAATCGCTGAAACAATTTGCTGGCACTTCCCTGCATGTAGTGTTTTGAATAGCAATGAGAACAGATGTTTAACTCACTATGGAATGCATCTCAATCAACACATGACATTTACTGTCTTACCAAGAAGCTAAGTAAAAAAAGAAATAGACTGCTATAAAAAAGACCTTTGGAATGCCAGGTAATGTAGATGGATAAGACTGGGAAGATCCTGAATCTTCAGCGCTATCAGCTCCATCACCAGCACCCCTATCCATTAGAATTTTGTGACGCTCCTTGCACTCCTTTGGTTTACGGAATATACACTGGATAGATTCCGGAAATACATAAGAGCAGAGTCATAGAGAAAGAATATAAAAGAGGTCAAATAATCAAACATCTTTCAAGATATAAAAAGCAACGCGAGTCAATCTCGTCAAGATCTAAAAACAAACACAAGACTAAATATCCTTCAAGATCTAAAAAGCAACAGAAGATAGTTCTAAATCGAAAATTAATATCCACGGATATAGACACGCAAAGTACGCCCTGAAAAACAACAATTATGAGACAGTATCGAAAAGAAATTTCAACCACATATACTAACCTTAAATTGAATGGTGCTGTTTATGGCATCGCTTACAAGCTCCCAATTTGGACCCATATCATGCACAAGAACAATAAGAGCCTAAAAAATAACAACAAGAACTTCAGGTTCTTAGCCATAACTACAACAGCACCAAAGAAAGAACCCATTGACAATAGAAAAGATAAAGATACCTGATCTTCAAATATTGACCACGGGCTTCCAGAGCCTGGCTGGCTAGTAGAAATCTGCAGAAAGGATAAAGGCTGAAGTTTCTAGAATAAATTTATTTAAATAAGTGAAGAAAAGTAGGCCACCAGCAAAAGATACCTTCAGCGCTTTAGCTTTTCTGCCCTTATCCCGGCCAGCAATAAATTTTATAATTTTATTTGGGTTGGACATATTACTCATTTGGGATGCTACTGGAGAAGGAATGGACCCAGTAATTGGAGTAATGTTATCAAAAGTATTTTCATGTGATTGCTTCATTATCTTTGGCTTCTTCAAATTATGCTGTCCATACAAGCCTTAAAGACACAACGACAATCAAACATGTCATGGATAACAATGAAACAAATATGTATCTCTCAAACTAATTATTAAAAACAAACATTGGCAAAAAGGGGCTTTATTAACACTGGTACCATTTGATTCAAAATGATGATTCTCCAATCTCTTTTTCAAATGATCCCTCTGCAAAACAAGAGAAGGATAAAGACTTGATTACCAATAGAGCAATATTTATCCTGTAAAGCTAAGAAACATCCGAGATGGATCCATCAACTACATGCATACTTGCACAAACACTCTTAATATCAATTCTGACCAGATAAGAGACCTTATCAACTTTTCAACCACCCAACTTCTTTCCCGGAAAATATGACTCAAGCATCTCTCCTCTTTAGAATTGCTTTCAAACCGCATGGTTCATCCAGACTGAAGCAACAGACAACTGTTATATATTTTATTATAATTCTCTCAGAAAAATTTCTCCCCTTTTGAATTGCTTTGAAACTGCCATGGGTCATCCAGAGTGAAGAAACAGCCAACTGTTGTATGTTTTAACCAATTATTATAATTCTCTCAATGCACTCATTTCTTTGTCGCACTCGCTCTCTACACATTTTTTTCAACTCTAAAAATTCACTCGGCTACAGTATTGCTTGTTGCACTATCCTTGTTTTTAAGGCATTGAAAAGTCAAAAATAATCAAACACTAGAAATAACTCCCAAGCAGTGTTCTCATAAGAAAAGACATTATCAAGCTGAAATTAGGAGTACAAATATACAACCATTTAAAGGGCAGGTTGGAAGGAAGGGGATAGAACAAATTATCATGGTAAACAACTATCTCACTATATAAAAGAGTAGAAACCTGTTCATTATGGACATTTGAATCAAGCTGCCAACCCTGATCAAATGCAGAAGCCTGCAACCAAAAGAGTTCAAGCAACTTAACAGAGGAGGTATGAGAAAAACATATACAAGCCATAGACAAGTCCCAAATGCAAGTTGGAACATAAACAAAAGTCCTGGATACCAGATGCTTGGGCTTCTTTTTCTTCTTAGGTTTAGCTGATGTTTCTGCACAATCATACGGTAACTGTTTTTCGAACTCCCCAGCTGACTCAACCTCCATACTTTTCTGAATATGAAATCCACCATGCAAGGTACTCTGGTCATCCTGAAAGGAATTAGTATCTCCACTTGAGGCATCTGTCTTTGCAGGAACCTGTAAACTTCCGGCAGCTCCAGCACCAAAAGTACTAACAACTCTCTGTCTGGATGCAGTGCGTATGCGTTTTGTTGGAATGTAACCGACATTAAGACTATTTGCAGGCCTTTTTCCCAATAGCATAGATTGGTGAGACCCATTTGAGTAGTTGCCATAAGGAACATCAGCTCCAAGTTCGTAGGATCTGACATTGTGTGATTTCATTAAGTTCTTCCGCTTCTTCTGAGTGAATTTTGATGATTTGTTACCATCAAAGCCTCCACCTAAATAATAAGTACTCGTTTCCCCTTCATCCTCCTCATATACACTCTCATTATATCCAAACTCTACAGTTAAATGGATCCAGTAAATAACACAAAAAGTCAACAAACATAAAACTCATACCAAAATAGCATTAAGACTACCTGCAGCAACATCATACATCGAGGTCTCAACCTCTTCTTGCACGCTACTTCCAGATTTCTGGGAAAAGAGAAACTAAAGATTAAATAAATAAGCTGAAATATCTGAAGTACTTGAGCAATCAAGTTTGAGAATATGTACAGTTGGAAGCAAGAGAATGCACTGGGATAAACTAATAACTCTGAAATGGAGAATGAGAATGACCAGAAAAATAGTATCTACAGTGGTGGGAAAAAATGCAAGGGCTTGTCAGCCTAGTTTATCTAGCAATGTTATCATCAGTAGAGATCGTTTCCCAGTGTTCCATTCTTCTAATACCCATAAATTTACCATGCTGGTAAAAACATGCACAGAGAAAAAATATTCCACCACAATTAAGTAGAAAAAAAAAATTATTTACCTCAAACTGTACTACATGAGATTCGATCGATTTTCTATAGATTTCAATTGCACCCAAGGGAACTGCATAGAAGAGGCTTTCCTGAAAAATACAAACTCACTCAGTACTGAATGCTGCAGCACAATCATGAATACTGGAAAATACAGAGGATGTAATATACGAGTGTTGCCTCTATGAGCAAAACATAAAATAAACAATTACAAATAAGTTCTCTTCTGATAACATCTTGAATCACTCTGTTGACTCCCAACAGAAAGACAAGGAAGTGTAGCAAACATTAACAAATAAAGTGAATCAAATGGCTGGGAAAGAGACACAGTGCATACTTCTGTGAGATGATCATCCCAAGACACATCCATTATACCAGAATCAGATATCCTATCAGGAGTTTTTGGTGCTTCTGCTTGGAGATGAGGAACAGCAGTCCTGTTATATTTCAAAAATCTTAATGCATATTCCCGAATATCAAGAACAGTATTCTTCCCAGGGTTATGTAGCTTGAGCACTTTGCTTTTCTCCTGCTTGTAACCAAAACATAAATTAACAACAGATTAGTCACTATAAATAGCAGACAATTATGAGTTTCCAAGAAAAGAAATGTGAACAACAAAGTCCTAAAACATGAATGCAACCAGAACCTAGACCAAGTGAACCTATTAGCTAACAGAAAGATGATCATATTATCCAAATTATGGGAGAGTAAAAAAGTCCAAATCAAATTATAAAAGCTCAAGGACCTTCAGAATCTTTAATTAAATGTCAAAGAATTGAGGTCAACAGAATGCAACATGCTTTGATTTATTGGACAGGAACTATATCTAAATCAGGCTGAACAAAAATAATAAAGTTAAAGAGAAAAATGGGGGAAAAAGGTTTAAGAAAAAAAAAAACAATGGGATACGAATATTAACCATTCCCAATAAAAACCACCAAAAGAAAACAAGAAAGAACACATGGCCTTCTCATGATTAAAAATGAAAAAGAAAATTCAAAGCATGACTAACAGCATATAAATATTTTAACCTTGCTATCAGAAGCTTCATTTCCACCAACCAACTTATGTCGACAGTCTTTTGTACGAATATTTGGATCCGCATTATTTAGAAGCACCTCTGCTGAATGCCAGAACTGCATCACAGCGTCAGCCAGCACAAAAGCTACCTTTTTGAGCTTCCAATGCTGACTCTGTCTTTCAAATCTGGACCGAGAAGTAAAAGCGACCCGACGGCATATTTGAGCAGCAGCAGTCATTTTCCAGAGACGCTCCTATAAGAAAAGATATCGTAAATTCCATATAAAATATAATTCTTAATTCCAAATACATGAAAGGAAAACATACTTAAAGAAGTAAAAGATTTGCATTACAAAGTTTTGATTGAATGGTGTATTGATTGACCCAGACCTGTGCAAAATCATTTGCCAGCCAAGCCATTTCCTCAAGGACGAAATCCCAGTGAGATTTTCTATGATTCTCCAAAGGTAAATTACCAACAGATAACTCAGCAATTCTCTTCCGCTTAGCCTGTTACTATGTTCTATCAGAATGTTGAAACTTTTAAAAGGAAGATGGAATTCCTTCCACGTTTTACATATACAAGGTCATAAACTGAAAGAAAAATCAAGAAATAACCTCTATAATCCGTGCCTCTTCCAAAATAGAATCTTCATGAGCCTTATCCGCTAATTTCAAGGCATTACTTGAAACAAGTTTGGGGTCAGCAGCAGCAGAATTTGCTCCAGTTAAAGTGGCCTTGGGAATATCATGAGTACCAGTGTTGACCATGCCTCCAGGAATGCCAGTGCATAACTTTTCCTTGGTGTTCCATGATGATACCAATGAACCACAACCTTTTCCATCAGTTTCCTGCCGACTATATTGATTTTGTCGCACTACCTTCACGTTGGAAGAACAATTTGCCTCATCTGGTAAATCAGGTAAGGCACTCTGAGTGTCACATTCTACTTAGACAACAGAACCATTGCCAGTGTGGTTTTCATAAATAGAAGTATTGCCGTCATTGGCAAAAGAATGGCTGTCAATAGCCTTGACCTCATTCTTTTCATTTACTATTTCACCACTGGTTAAATTTGGTGTCCCTTCTACTACTGATGACTTATTCATAGGAATCCCGTTAGGATCAGAATTTTTCAGATTAATAGATACATCATTATCATTATTTACACCTACACCTAGGCTGTTACGAGCACAAGAGGAATCCGGAACTAATCTCTTTGTACCAACTGCTGAATTGCTACTTTGACCATCATTAACTAAGCTTTTTCTATCTCCTTTAGTCTCTTCACACCTGCCCAGCTGGTCAGAACTACCCTCTTTCTCAGCTCTTACAGCAGCTTCACAAAGTGGGAATCCAGGACCAGCTGAAGCTGCCTGTTCTCTTCTTCCATCAAGAACAGATTCCCTAGAAGCCATGTCAAATGAATCTTGCCGAGCACCAATACGTGAAATTTTATCATGCTGGTTATCTGCCCAGCTTTTGGAAGCTGTAACATCCATATTGTTTTTGGATAGACAAGCTTTGGTCAGGCTGGGAGTCTCTGTCACAGATGGCAATCCATCCAACTCTATATTCAACTTGTTATCAGAAAATATAACTTTTGGATTTATATCCCCGTTTGAAGTTGCAGAGTTAAGGTTAGACGCAGAGGGTAAATTCTGGTCCTTCTGACTGGTTGTTTCAGATGCTAAACCCCGTGCATCCCTCGTCCCCCCACGACCTGGTAAAGAAGAACCGTGACTGCCACGAGTCTGATTTATATCTGTTGAACTTGATCGTGCAGCATCACGATTTATCTTGGATCGATTCCGACGAGCATATGGGCGAACAATTGCAGAATCTTCTGATTCCTTGGCATTTTGTGTGCCATCCAACTGAGAAGACAGTTCTGATTTTGCGATTCTATTTCTCCTACTAAGATGTATAGAATTTCTTCCCCCCTCAAGCAACTCATTTTCACCATTGAAAAGCAAGAGATTATCAGCACTATTGGGTTCACAAACTGTAAGCACCCCAGGTCTACCACTACTCTCAACAGAATCACCATGAGGTGAGGCTGTCAAGGCAAAACTACCTTTTGCTTCACTGTGATAAAGTATAAGGGGAAGATTAGCCAGTTCATACAGAAGAAAAAATAATAATAAATAAA